TGTGTGTATAAAAACATCCTCACTGTATTTTCCACTTTATGCATCTGATGAAGTGAGCTGTAGCTCACGAAAGCTTATGCTCAAATAAATTGGTTAGTCTCTAAGGTGCCACAAGTCCTCCTTTTCTTTTTGCGAATACAGACGAACACGGCTGCTACTCTGAAACCTGACTACACAGAGTGCTGTCATTTGCACAAAGATAAAATGGAGAAATGTTGTGTGTGTTTAACCTCTTTCAAACAGTGGGCTCTTAAATGTTGCAAATAATTTCTAGCTCAACCAGAAGTTAGGGGCTTGAGGTAGGAGTCTCCCAGGCATTGTCTTCACTGCAAAAGTGTGTTTACACGGAGATAGCTAACTTGATGTAAAATCCGCGTGGAGACATAGAATAGAAACATAGAATATCAGGGTTGGAAGGGACCTCAGGTGGTCATCTAGTCCAACCCCCCTGCTCAAAGCAGGACCAATCCCCAATTAAATCATCCCAGCCAGGGCTTTGTCAAGCCTGACCTTAAAAACTTCTAAGGAAGGAGATTCTACCACCTCCCTAGGTAACGCATTCCTGTGTTTCACCACCCTCCTAGTGAAAACATTTTTCCTAATATCCAACCTAAACCTCCCCCACTGCAACTTGAGACCATTACTCCTTGTCCTGTCCTCTTCTACCACTAAGAATAGTCTAGAACCATCCTCTCTGGAACCACCTCTCAGGTAGTTGAAAGCAGCTATCAAATCCCCCTCATTCTTCTCTTCCGCAGACTAAACAATCCCAGTTCCCTCAGCCTCTCCTCATAAATCATGTCTTCCAGACCCCTAATCATTTTTGTTGCCCTTCGCTGGACTCTTTCCAATTTATCCACATCCTTCTTGTCGTGTGGGGCTCAAAACTGGACACAGTACTCCAGATGAGGCCTCACCAATGTCGAATAGAGAGGGACAATCACGTCCCTCGATCTGCTCGCTATGCCCCTACTTATACATCCCAAAATGCCATTGGCCTTCTTGGCAACAAGGGCACACTGCTGACTCATATCCAGCTTCTTGTCCACTGTCACCCCTAGGTCCTTTTCCGCAGAACTGCTGCCTAGCCATTCGGTCCCTAGTCTGTAGCGGTGCATTGGGTTCTTCCATCCTAAGTGCAGGACCCTGCACTTATCCTTATTGAACCTCATCAGATTTCTTTTGGCCCAATCCTCCAATTTGTCTAGGTCCCTCTGTATCCTATCCCTGCCCTCCAGCGTATCTACCACTCCTCCCAGTTTAGTATCATCCGCAAATTTGCTGAGAGTGCAATCCACACCATCCTCCAGATCATTTATGAAGATATTGAACAAAACCGGCCCCCGGACCGACCCCTGGGGCACTCCACTTGACACCGGCTGCCAACTAGACATGGAGCCATTGATCACTACCCGTTGAATCATAGAATCATAGAATATAAGGGTTGGAAGGGACCCCAGAAGGTCATCTAGTCCAACCCCCTGCTCGAAGCAGGACCAAATCCCAGTTAAATCATCCCAGCCAGGGCTTTGTCAAGCCTGACCTTAAAAACCTCTAAGGAAGGAGATTCTACCACCTCCCTAGGCAACGCATTCCAGTGTTTCACCACCCTCTTAGTGAAAAAGTTTTTCCTAATATCCAATCTAAACCTCCCCCCACTGCAACTTGAGACCATTACTCCTCGTTCTGTCATCTGCTACCATTGAGAACAGTCTAGAGCCATCCTCTTTGGAACCCCCTTTCAGGTAGTTGAAAGCAGCTATCAAATCCCCCCTCATTCTTCTCTTCTGCAGGCTAAACAATCCCAGCTCCCTCAGCCTCTCCTCATAACTCATGTGTTCCAGACCCCTAATCATTTTTGTTGCCCTTCGCTGGACTCTCTCCAATTTATCCACATCCTTCTTGAAGTGTGGGGCCCAAAACTGGACACAGTACTCCAGATGAGGCCTCACCAATGTCGAATAGAGGGGAACGATCACGTCCCTCGATCTGCTCGCTATGCCCCTACTTATACATCCCAAAATGCCATTGGCCTTCTTGGCAACAAGGGCACACTGCTGACTCATATCCAGCTTCGTCCACTGTCACCTCTAGGTCCTTTTCCGCAGAACTGCTGCCTAGCCATTCGGTCCCTAGTCTGTAGCGGTGCATGGGATTCTTCCGTCCTTAGTGCAGGACCCTGCACTTATCCTTATTGAACCTCATCAGATTTCTTTTGGCCCAATCCTCCAATTTGTCTAGGTCCTTCTGTATCCTATCCCTCCCCTCCAGCGTATCTACCACTCCTCCCAGTTTAGTATCATCCGCAAATTTGCTGAGAGTGCAATCCACACCATCCTCCAGATCATTTATGAAGATATTGAACAAAACCGGCCCCAGGACCGACCCTTGGGGCACTCCACTTGATACCGGCTGCCAACTAGACATGGAACCATTGATCACTACCCGTTGAGCCCGACAATCTAGCCAGCTTTCTACCCACCTTTTAGTGCATTCTTCCAGCCCATACTTCCTTAACTTGCTGACAAGAATACTGTGGGAGACCGTGTCAAAAGCTTTGCTAAAGTCAAGATACAATACATCCACTGCTTTCCCTTCATCCACAGAACCAGTAATCTCATCATAACATGTAAGTTAAGTGTTCGTAACTTAACTTACATGTGTTTAGAAGGCGATTAGATTAGTCAGGCATGACCTTCCCTTGGTGAATCCATGGAATAAAGTCCTTATTTACTTTCTCCACACCAGTCCTGATTTTATAGACCTCTATCGTATCCCCCTTAGTTGTCTCTTTCCCAAGCTGAAAAGTCCCAGTCTTATTAATTTCTCCTCATATGGAAGCTGTTCCATACCCCTAGTCATGTTTATTGCCATTTTCTGAAGCTTTTCCAATTCCAATATATCTTTTTTGAGATGGGGCGACCACATCTGTGCACAGTATTCAAGATGTGGGCATACCATGGATTTATATAGAGGCAATATGATATTTTGTGTCTTTTTATCTGTCCCTTTCTTAATGATTCCCAACATTCTGTTTGATTTTTTGACTGCCACTGCACATTGAGTGGATGTTTTCAGAGAACTATCCACAATGACTCCAAGAATTCTTTCTTGAGTTGTAACAGCTAATTTAGACCCCTAAAAAGTATGGCTCTGGTTTGGGAATCCCGCTCACATTCTCAGCCATGAAGACTGTTGCAAAGAATTCATTTAGTTTCTCCGCAATGGCCTCATCATCCTTGAGTGCTCCTTTAGCATCTTGATTGTCCAATGGCCCCACTGGTTGTTTAGCAGGGTTCCTGCTTCGGATGTCCTTAAAAATTTTTTTGCTCTTAGTTTTTGACTCTTTGGCTGGCTGTTCTTCAAAATCTTTTTTGGCCTTTCTAATTATGTTTTTATGCTTCGTTTGTCAGAGTTTATGCTCTTTTCTATTCTCCTCATTAGGATTTAACTTCCACTTTTTAAAGGATGCCTTTTTGCCTTTCACTGCTTCTTTTACTTTGTTGTTTAGCCACAAGTGACACTTTTCTGGTTCTCTTACTATGTTTTTTAATTTGGGGTATACATTTAAGTTGAGCCTCCATTATGGTGTCTTTAAATGTTTCCATGCAGGTTGCAGGGATTTCACTTTTGGCGCTGTACCTTTTAATTTCTGTTTCACTAACCTCCTCATTTTTGTGTAGTTCCCCTTTCTGAAATTAAATGCTATGGTGTTGGGCTGCTGTAGTGTTTTCCCCACCACAGGGATGTTAAACCTTTACTAGTGTGTCTTTAAGTGAGGTGTTTGGGAAAATCTCTGCTTGGTAAACAAAGGCTGTTGCACATCTTCCCCACATCGAGGGGGGAGAGAATTAATTGATGAGCTTGCATTGTACAGATCCTGTGCAGTGCAAGATGGTATAATTCTGGGCTCATACTCCAACAGGGGTGCAAGGCTGGGGAGCTGGGAAAATGGAGGTTGTCTCCTGTTTGTCCTTGAGTGGCTTAGGTAAAGCACTGAGGTAACTCAGTTAGGTGTGTGGCGTCACCTGCTGTCATGTTGGGTGATAACAGGGCCTGGAGCGGCTGGCTGTGTATCACCAGTAGAGCAGTGTGAGAAAGGACAACTCAGCTGAATTGTTAGGAGGCACAGCAGTTCCAACCACTCCCAGACTACACCCCGGGGAGCGACAACCTCTCACAGCGGGCAATGACCCTAACTCAGGCTGAGCAGAGGGAACCTTTTCCCAGTGCCTTCCCCAGCAACCCTCCCACCCTTTGCCCAGTGCTGCCACGCTCTCCCTGCCAAAGTTACCGACTGGGTGTGGGAGACCTTTCCTTCTCCTGCTGCACCTCCCCCTGGCATTTTTCTGGCTCACTCAGCCTCTCTCCCTGGCAGCCAGGCCCAAATGTGGAGCAGAGGGGGCAGGACAGAGATGCTTCTCACGTTTGCTGCCTTTGTGTACAGAGCCTGGCTGGGGAAGTGGTGGCTCGCCTTCTGTCTCACTGCCTGGGCCTGGCTGCCAGGAAGAGGAGGCTGGTTGCAGGACCACAGCCCAGCCTAGTGCTATTGTTTGCACAAGAGCCTCCAGGGCTGTAATGTTACCAGGGGGCTCGTTCCAGCTCAGCAAACAGCACAGGTCAGTTCCAGGAAGGGAAACGCCCAGTGCTGCTACAGGTGGGGCTTGTTTCTGAGCTCGGGAAAGTGAACCGTACCCTGTTACACTGTCCAGAGGGAGCCATGGCTGCAGGGAGCTCTGTGGAAAGTCTCCAGGATGAAGCTACTTGTCCCATCTGTCTGGAGTATTTCACAGAACCTGTCACTCTGGAGTGCGGGCACAATTTCTGCCGAGCCTGCACCACCCAGTGCTGGGGAGAATCAGACCCAGGCATCACCTGCCCTCAGTGCAGACAAGCTGTGCAACAGAGAAACCTCAGGCCAAACAGGCAGCTGGCGAATGTCCTAGAAATAGCCAAATGGCTGAGTTTCCAGGCAGCGAAGGGATCAGGAGTGTGTGTGGAACACCAGAAGGCTCTGACACTGTTCTGTGAAGAGGATCAAACCCCCATCTGTGTGGTTTGCCATCTGTCCCAGACTCACCGAGCTCACACTGTGGTCCCCATAAAGGAGGATAACCAGGAGTACAAGGTAGGGAATTGCTGTCAAGTTCAATGAGTAACAGCTTTGGATTTTTATGACAGGTGGAAGTTGCCTGTCAGAGGTGTGACTGCATTGTTCAACTCTGTAAGGCCTTCATTGTATGGGAGATGCTATAAACAATAAATGAGACAGCTGGGTGGCAGGAAGGGCAAACAATTAAGACTTGAAAAATTTCTAATGGGGGAAAGTTTTACCTGAGAAGCAGAATCCTTTTCAAACCCAGCTCCCACTGGTGAACTAAGGGAACTCTCTATGGAACAGAAGCTGTTAAATGATCAGTGAGGTTTAAATCACCTGCAGGCCTGTCTATGTGAGACTGTTGCCTTCAGACTGGAGAATATCAAGTTAAAAAGCTGATGTTGTCATTGCTGATTTGTATCTTAGCATTTATCATCATTGTTGTTATTTGCATCCCAGTAGCCACTACAGACCCCAGATGAGATTTGACCTTGATTTTGCTGGAACCTGCACAAAACAGTGTGAGGGACAATCCCGGCTCTGAGCAGGGATAATCTAATGTATAGGCTAATCTGAGAAGAAAAATGCAGAGTGGGATGGGAAATGGAGGGTCAGAGTGGGGAAATTAATTGCCTAAGGTCACCCAGCAGGAGAGTGACTGGGTGGGCAATAGGACCAAAGTCTTTCAAGGCCCACACCAGTGCCTGAACCATGAGACCATGCTGTTGTGGCCCTAGCAGCGATGAAGTCTGTTAGAAGGGGAAGACTCTTTGAGAAAAGTCTGAATCATAGAATATTAGGGTTGGAAGGGACCTCAGGAGCTCATCTAGTCCAACCCCCTGCTCAAAGCAGGACCAATCCCCAATTTTTGCCCCATATCCCTAAATGGCCCCCTCAAGGATTGAAGTCACAACCCTGGGTTTAGCAGGCCAAAGCTCAAACCACTGAGCTATCCCTCCCCTCAAGCCAGTAAGGAGATGAAGTTTCTCCTTGGGATTCTGAATTTCCATGAGGGGTTAAACTGAGATGCACTCTCACCCCTAAAAATAAAAATCAAACCACCCAAATAATTTCTGTTGATTCAGGATAAAATCCAGCTCTATTTGAAGATTCTGAAGGAAGAGAGAGAAAATTTCCAGGGATTTAAATTGAATAGAGAGAAGAAAAGCCAGGAGTATCTGGTAGGTTCCTGTTATTAACCTGCATTGACATGGGATGTGAGGTTGGTTTGTAGGCAGATTCCCTTGTGGCCTTAGGAAATGTTGGCTTTTATCTACTACTCCGTTACCACGGATGCTCTGTGTGTATGTGTGCACTCACCTCCATACAGATGGCCTGAAAAATCCTCTTCTCCATCTTCAGATTCTAAGCTTTCATTTCTGGTAATGAATTCTTGTACACCTTTTGTGGCTTTGACGAAAATCTTGCCAAAATGATCTGAATGTATCCAATGCACAGTTCTGTACCTGTCTGCACCTTTTGTTCAATTGATTCATTTTTTCTTTCCATACATCTGTGTCAACGTAGTTCTGTGTAGAGCTGAGTAAACAACAGGACTTTTCATTGACTGGAAATTGGGGAAAAAATGGTCAAACCAAAAATAATTTTAAAAAATTTAGCAAATCAGTGTTCCATTTTTTCTTGGGCAGAGTGTTTTGCTTCAATTTTGACCATGAAGAAGGACTTTTTAAAGCAAAAACTAATTTCAAATTGAATAATCAAAACATTTTCTTGATTTTTTTAAAGATTTATTTATTTATCTGCTTATTTATTTCTTTATTTATCCATCCAAAAAAGGTGGGTGACATTGAGAAGAATTCATTAAATATTTCAGAGTCAATGAATCTGCCTTTTCCCTCCAAAAAGTTTAGTGCAAAAAATGTCACTCAGATCTAGTGCTAAATCTTGCCTCCGGCGGCCTTGGATCTGCATTTTTAAAGGCTCCTGGTAACACGATATCCTAACCATGTCAGACATGAGAATATCCCTTTAAGAGATATAGGGGCCAAATGGGAAGGTGTGAGAAAATCCTCTTTCTACTAATCACAGGTCACAGGCAAGTGTTAGATGTCTTAGAATGTGCAAAGAAATTCTCCTCCTGCACACTCAGCACTCCATGAAAGGACCCCAGGCTCCATTCACATCCCAAACAAGCCCTTTCCCTATTTTCTTACAGAAACAGAGAGGCAGAAGATTTTATCTGAATTTCAGAAACTGCGGCAGTTCCTGGAGGAAAAAGAGCGACTCCTGCTGGCTGAGCTGGAAAAACAGGACAAGGAGATTGTGAAGATACAGAATGAAAATGTTACTAAACTCTCTGAGGAGATTTCCCATCTCAGTGAGCTGATCAGTGAGATGGAGGGGAAGTATCTGAAGCCAGTAAGCAAATTCCTGCAGGTGAGACAGAGTAAGAAATACCCCAGATCCCACCACAGGGACAGGACCATTCCCAAATTGTGGGCACTGGAGTCCAGCTGTCAGTGAATTCCTGAAATGTGCATTACAATTTTTCTATGACGAATTAGAGATATATAGATATGAGAGATGGAAAAGCCCCATTAGCTGAGATAACCCATGGTTCTGGGGCCAGACCAGAGCTTCTTTTTTCAAGATTTGCAAAATCCCTTCCCTGCAATCCTCAGTGTGTTTCAAGTGGGTCTCAGATTATTTTTCTCTCTTTTTCCCCTCTAGGATGTCAGAAGTACCTTGAGCAGGTACATGGCTCTTTCTCACTCCCACACACACTTCACATGCTGGGAAAGGACTTGGAAGCCATGTTAACCCCGCTTCTCTCCAGGGCTACATGGCAAAATGTGTGGGGCAGGTTCACATTTTGGATACAAACCTCTTTAATGAATTTAATCCTGATGTTCTCACTGTCTTTCTGTCTGGAATAGCTCACAACTGTGAATGCCAAATTCAGGTCAGATGCCAGAAAACAGGGCAGACACCCTAAACTGGTGGTATATTCTATAATTAGATTTCACCAAACCAGTAACGAACATGCACTCCTGGATCTCTGTATCAGTCTTACCATGGAGTCAAAGACAGTCCCCTTAGGATCTCCAGCCCTTCTTGGCACCCAGACAAACTGGGCTTTGTGATATTGGTCACTATACCAAATATCACATCACATTAGGTTACTCCCAACCACAAACGGTCAGTTACTTACCCTGGTCAAATTTGTACTCTGGATCTCACCAAAGACAAAGCTGAAGTAAATTCACTAGTAAACTAAAGATTTATTAGCTAAGAAAAAGAACTGAGACTTATTGAGAGGTTTAAGCAGGTAAAATACATTAACAGGTGAGTCAAAGTTTATAATTCCAAGATGATAGCAGAGATGTAGTAGTCTGCTAGTTTTCCAAAAGTCTCTCAGGGATACCCAAAATCACTTTGGGGACCTCCTTCCACTCACTCAGTATTCTACCCTCTTCGAATCTAAAACAGTTCAGAGATACAGGATCATTCCCTGGAATCAGTATTTACGGCTTCTTTCCACAAAAAGCAATCATCCAAGTGTTTTCATCACAGCATGCATTTTTCCTTTGTTGACTAAATGCAGACTGAGCCTGAAGATTTCCATTGTCGAATGCAATGACCCATGCTTTGAAGTCAGCATGCTTCTTCATTTCCTGTTCCAAGGCTCCAATCCTGTCTGATGGGCAATTAAATCACAGAGATATTACATTATGTATGTCCCTGTACTTAATTGACCCTAGATCAAAAGTGTGTGTTAGCATCAAGTTCATGAGAACTAATGGATTGTTACATGCTATTACCTAACAATATGCATTATGTATGAGATAGCAGAGAACAGGTTACAGATGAGAAGACAATATCATTCACATTTCCTTTGAACTAGATTAATACTCAAATGAATTAGTACACTTAACATTTCTTTGATATTCACACAGAAGTGAATTGGCCTATGGCTTTGACCTGAGCTGGCCTGGTGGTGTCACACTGACCTTTTTTAGAGAAGACTCTGGAATTATCCATTCAGGGGGAAAGATTAACCTAAAGTATTTCTTAGAGATGTCACACAAACAACAGCCCCCCAACAGTTAAAAACACAGAACATAGGGAATACTTATAGGATGGGGGACTCTAATGTGGGAAGCAGTTACTCTGAAAAAGATTTGCGGATCATGGTGGATAATCAGCTGAACATGAGTGCCCAGTGTAATGCTGTGGCTAATTGGGCTAATCTTATCCTTAGCTGTCTAAACAAAGGAACATCAAGCAAGAGTAAGTAGGTTATATTACCTTTGTATTTAGCATTGGTGCAACCACTACTGGAATACTGTGTCCAGTTCTGGTGTACTCAATTCACGAAGGGTGTTGATAAACTGGAAAGGGTTCAGAGAAGAGCCATGAGAATGATTAAAAGATTGGAAAACATACCTTATAGTGAGAGACTTGAGCAGCTCAATCTATTTAACTCAAAGAGAAAGTGAAGGGGTCACACCTTATCACGCAAGAGAATGTGATCTACCTACCCGATCACACAAAAGAATGTGCTTAAGGAGCTGATAAGCCTACCTATAGTATATAGGAAAAGCATCTGCAATATCTTGGGAGACTAATCTGAGAGACATACAGTCACATTCCAGGGTGCAGTCCAGACCAGAGAAGGGTTGTGTCACTGCCTGCCCTGCAGCCTTGGGTCCCTCACAATGCTTTGCTGTTGTAGCTCCCCCACTGGGCTGCTCTCAACTAGCCTACCAGCATGCAGGACACACCCTGAGTGTTTCTATGTCGCTTCAGCCCTGGTCTAGTATCTCTGACCCCAACAGCCTCTCAGTAACATGCCAGCCACACTCCGGCTTCCACCAGCCTTGGTTACTACTTGCAGGGTGACCCTACCATATTCCCAGTCCTGAATTTTCCCCAAAACATGTGCTCTGCAATGTCCAACCCTCTCCTAAACAGTTCAGATATTAAGGTTCATTGCTCTTGTACAAAGTAATTATTCAACAATTTGCTACTTTAACTGGAGTTGCCAAACAGTTCAGTTTAAACACAGC